CACTCACTCACTCACTCACTCAGTTAGTTACCACACACATACACAGCCACCCCGGCCGCAGCCTGGCTATCTCTCTTCCCCCTTTCTTCTTCATCTTGCTTTTACCTTCTAAAGGTGCTTAATGAGAAAGGAAGGAAGGAAACAGTCAGCATCTCTCATCATTATGGCGACGGTGACAAAGAAGCAAGCTTATTGGTCCTCCAGTCTCTCCCTCTCTCCCTCTCTCTGTCTGAGACAGGCTTACTGTGTCTCCCAGCTCTAGAGGTCATTCTGTCACCCAGTGAGTGAGCAAGGGGGAGGGAGGGGCGGGAAGGGATGATTCAGACAGACACACCGGAGGACGAGACAGATAAAGGATGAGTCACAGCATAGACAGAGAGAGGGAGAGGGATTCAGCTACGTAAAGGAAGAAGATAAAAGGGAAGAGGGCAGGAGTGAAAGACACAGACACAGAGGAGCGCAGGGAGACGAGGGAGGAGAGCATCTGAGCAGACATGGAGGCCATTGGTAAGACACACAGTTCCATACAGTGACTGGAGCAGCAGAACAGCAGTAAGGAGGTAAAGGGAGGGCTCCACTGTGTGACATGGTTCTGCTGTCAGAGCCCTGAACCAGAGCAGGGACCCTACAACCTGTCTATACTGTAAAACCATGTAGTCTAGCATCAGACCACTCGCCTTACAGTTGAGCTGCACCTAGGGCTGCAACTAACCATTATTTTCATTAGCAATTCATCCGTCAATCATTTTCTCAAGTAATTCATTGGTTGTTTGGTCCATTAAATGTCCAGAAATGGTGAAAATGTTGATCAGTATTTCCCACAGCCCGAGGTGACATCCTCAAACGTCTTTTGTCCATAACCCATGATATTGGAAACAGTGTTTTTCAAATGGGGCACGCGTACCCCTAGGGGGAGGTACTGCAGGGGGACGTAAGATTTAAACAAAAAAATAGGAATCATGTGTAATTCCTAAACTAATGAGTTTTAGGAATGAGAGTTTAATAAAAAATTGACTGCAAGTTTGAGCAACCTCATTTTATATTCAGTATCTGTCTGCCTGACAGAGAATGACAAAGATCCTGAAGCAAGAGCCGTGTTTCTCACTGAACTGTAAATGCAACTTATCGAGAAGAAGCGCTTCAGTGCAACCTCAGTGCCGTCTTACTGCATAATGATGACATCATGAACTTAGTGATGGATTCTAAACATTTGAAAGTGCTCTTCAGTTATAAATCAGACACTGATGGTGCAGTGCTGGTTTGTACCTCTTTATATTGGCTTTTTTATTTCTACCAAAAATGTTTTGCTCTGTTCAGAGGGTACGCAGCTGAAAAAACCACTGTCACAGAGGACTAAAGAAATCAGAACATTTTATTCATTTTAGAAGATGAAAAAAGATGAATTTGGACATTTCTTCTTAAAATGACTCAAAACTATGAATTGAATTAATTTAATAGTTCCCGACTAATTCAATGAATGGTTGCAGCTCTACCTTCAGTTTCTCTGGATGTTTTAGGCCATAGTGGTTAGGGCATTTTTTTACTATTCAACCACAGCCAATGTCTTCCTCTCGTCTCCAATTACAGATCATGTGAACGGCTATTACATTAGAATTTCTGAAAGCCTGTTGTCAAGTCTGAGAGGTTTTCCAAGGCATCAAATGACTGAATGTCATTCACCTCAGCCATTAAACTGGACCCTTTTGTTTAATTCACATGGCTTTTCAAAGGAGGACAGATCATTGTTTAGTAGTCTTCTATAAATGACAGTGTAATGTAGCTTGTATTGCCCGGTCTTAGTTACACAGAGGATGTTCTCTGTCTCGTCTGTTGGAGCTATCTCTCCTCTCGTCTGACGGAGCAGTCAGATACAGCTGTCTCTGTACAATCTTAAAGACTGAGCCACCAACTCAACCCTTGACTAAAGCCACTCTGATAATACGGCTGATAATGTCTCTTCAGAATGAGACAGATGAAGTCAGTGTGCTTTCCTACCTCTGCATGTTCTGGGCTGTTGGACTGTTTGTTGTCTCACTGTCAGCACTTCAGTGAGTGCTCTGAACAAATGTTTAGTCAGTATGTTCTTAAACTTGTGACAGCATCCAAACCTTTGTCCTGTCTACAGAACCGACTGCTGACATGTCTGTGTTTATGTTGGCAGTTCAGTGGTTTTCACACAGCCCATCTTGCTGTCTGCGAGTCTGTGTGGGATAAAACCATGGCACCTTCCACTGACTGGCTTCATCTGGCTACAGATCTAAAACCATGTCACAAATAGGCCTTTTCCACCAATAGGGAACCAGCTTCGTTCCGGTTCAACCAACAACCTTCCGCTCTCTAGACGGCTTTCTTGATCAATCCCATTTCCTTGTCCTTCCTCAGTGCCTTATGGGTAGTGTGACATAGCATAAAAATGGTAAATGGTAAATGGACCTGTACTTGTATAGCGCCTTTACCTTTAAAAATGGTACTGAAAACAGGCAAAGTAGGTTTTCAGAACTCCAAAATTCTAGTGAGGATCCGCAGACAGTCAGCCTCAGCACTTCTAAAAGAAGAACACTGCTGCGAGTTCTTACGACAGAACACAGTTTCCTCTTATAAAGGAAAGGTTGAATTCATAAGCAATAAAAACACTTGCTCAAGTCCGTACACTGGTTTTGCTGATTCCATCTTTCTGGGTGTGGTCCCAGCTTATGGTGGTAACACATGTTCCTCCCATGTTTCCTCTCCATCAGTTTGTCCAATGGGTGGCAGCAGTAGCAGCAGCAGGTTGTTTGGTACACTGGCCCAGCCACTGAACAGCGCCCCCTTGGCCCAACCAGACCCATACCTGGAGGACACCCCAGACCAGGACCCGGCTGAGATCGACCCGGACCAGCTGCTCAGAGAGTGCGAGGAGGCCCTGCAGAGACGTCCGGCCCGGCCACATCGGGATCTGGTCTATCCCACCGGCATTGCGCCCTGCCGCCACAAGCACAACCCCCCCGTACGGATTATGCAGTGGAATATACTTGCACAAGGTGAGACTACTCTGAGTAAACCATACATTTGTGAAGAATCCAGTTTGCTTTGGTTCACACATGAAGTGTAATAACGTTGGTCCATCAGCAGGACACAAGTTCAACCTAAGATAAGATGTTCCTCTAACGATCCACTAGGAGAAATTCATTCAGAAGACTAGAAATGAAAGTATAGACACTATGCAATCCACTAAGCAGCTGTTTCTGAATCTGTTATTCCATCATTTATGACCAAATACCATACTTCTTTTATGCAGCCAATGGAGCTCCCCCTGCTGGCCATTAGAACCCAGAAGCTCTGTGTTTAAAAACCTGCATTCTATGTAAAGGCCAGCAGGGGGAGCTCTATTAGCTGCAATACAAAACGATACCATGCAGTCTAATGGAGAGACTTCTCACTGGATGTATGAGCTCAGTCAACAGTTTCCTGATGACTTTCAGTTTCTTCCATATCATGCCAGATGCTTTCATTAAACCCAAGTCAAACAGGTACCCATAAAGCCCAGGGGGACGCTTCAGGGGCGGCGGCGTGTACTCCACAAACCAGTGGGTGACAATAGGTTCCCACTTGGCCCAAGTACAGCCTCACAGAGCTGACAGGTTGTTGTGGTTTGGTATAATCACTGATCTCTCTCTTCTCGTTTCCAGCTCTTGGTGAGGGGAAAGACGGGTTTATCCGCTGTCCACTGGATGCTCTCAACTGGCAGGAAAGGAAATACCTGATCCTGGAGGAGATCCTCACCTACCGCCCCGACATTGTGTGTCTACAGGAAGTGGACCACTACTATGACACTTTCCAGCCAATCATGGCCAGCCTGGGTTACCACGGCACCTTCCTGGCCAAACCCTGGTCTCCCTGTCTGGACGTAGAGCAGAATAACGGTCCTGACGGCTGCGCTCTGTTTTACCGCCGCTCCCGCTTCTCCCTCCAGGCTACCTCTCACCTGCGGCTGTCGGCCATGATGCTGCCCACCAACCAAGTGGCCATCGTCCAGACGCTGGACTGCCAGGTAACGGGCCGCCGGCTGTGCGTGGCCGTCACCCATCTCAAAGCTCGTAGCGGCTGGGAGAGGTTGCGGAGCGCACAAGGCGCCGACCTACTGCAAAGTTTACGCAGCATAACGTCCCGAGGTGGCAGCAGCCAGAGCGAGGCAGCCTCGGCCAGTGCGCCTTTAGTAGTGTGTGGGGACTTTAACGCAGAGCCCTCGGAGGACGTGTACCGCCGCTTCAGCTCCTCCCCCCTCGGCCTGAACTCTGCATACAAGCTGCTGAGCTCTGACGGACAGACGGAGCCGGCCTATACCACATGGAAGATCCGCCCCTCTGGAGAGAGCTGCAGCACTCTGGACTACATCTGGTATACCCACGATGCTTTGAGCGTGGAGTGCCTGTTGGACATTCCCACAGAGGAGCAGATCGGCCCAGACCGCCTCCCCTCCTACCACTACCCCTCCGACCATCTATCACTGCTCTGTGACATCAGCTTCAGGGAGGAGGCGCACAGACTGAGGCTGACCGCCAGTCACAGCAGCCCTGGACCAATAGGAGGGCTGGGTGAGTGGACCGCTAGAAACAACACTGAACCCTTACTGTAAAGCAGGGGGACAGCGTCTGCTGCTTTGGGTTGGCTCATTCTGAAGCACATTGACGGCGGGACCAGTGAAACCTGATTGGAACGTGAATAATATGAGACAGACACAAAGCCACCAAGCTGGTTCACTTTCTCTAATGGTATTTTAGAGATCGTCAGAATGGACATCACCTCTGCTGGAAAAACAAATGGAGTTTGAAGTTTGGATTTGATTCAGTTGAAGTTCAGCTGAAATGGCAGCTAAGGGCTTCATCTGCCGAAGTTCCTGGAAGCCAGCTGTGGTTATTTATTGTTTCCAATGCGCACATAAGATTATTATCACTTAATGTTATTAAATGATTCTTTCTACTTTCTGTCAGTGGGTTAGACCATAATCAACATCTTTTCCTATTGTGTTTTAAAATAAGTGATTTTGCTTTGAAGTAATCCTGGATGGTTCTTCAGTTTGACATTGGTAATCATGACAGTGTTGTTGCTGTGATTACATTAAACAGGAGATATGTTCATGTTAATATATATAATAAAGTCATTATTTGTACTCTTATTGTTGTCCTGTTTGATTAATTGTGAATTTGTTTCTTTTGTTTTGGCACGCACGCACAGGGACGGGATAAGTGTACACTGGCTTTATAGCAGCCACGTATCAAACTGTTTGGTACGTAGGTTTAATCAGTTGAAGACTGATGCTCATGTACATACACTATATTGCCAAAAGTATGTGGACACTTTCATCGGAGGCAGTTTTTGTTTTGGGCTATTTCGTTTAAGCGAAGGAAAGGAAGCAGTACGAGACACAATCTGTGAAACAATCAGGTTCCTCTGGCTCTGACGTTAGGAGCACCAGGAGGAGCCACTGATTATCTGTCTCACGTACTACTGCAACGACTGAAATGATTTTTTTTTTTTTTTATAAAAATGACCTACTGCAGCTGTAATTAGAGCTAGGACCGATGTGATCCAATTTCAATATCAGATGACACTGACCTAACTGACCATATGCTATGAGCTGTCTATGTTGAAAAGACGTTATTTATTAGAGGGGAGGGGCCGGCTCAAAACTGGGAAGGCACGTCAAATAATTCTTAAACACTGGGGAACAAAACAACTTTCAACTGTTGTATTTTGCATTGAAGTTTTTCTTTTCAAAATACGGGTTTTCCCGCTGTATGGCAACTGTCTGTGTGTAGTCCCCACCGCCATTAACTTCATTAATCCAATCCATTTGTAAGACCTGTCAAAAATCGGATATATTTTAGGGATTACTAAACTTTTGACTTTTTAAGAATCTGCAGACACCCATTTACAATGTTATACATTGTAAAATACTTACAAATGATTCTGCAGTAACAAGGGACTTTTATGGATTCTGGCCCTGCAGTAGCATTGCCATTACCATAGAAATAGCCAATGTTCTCGCTGGTGTTCTTGTTTGTAAATGTAGCAATGTATTTAAAGAGAGCAGTATTAAAACAGACTGAACCAGCTGAAAACTCCTAGTAGCACATTTTCCTGTTTTTCCATTCAGTTTCTTTAAAACCTGAGGTTAGGAGAAATTGCGCAGTAGTCATCTCCCAGCCAACAGCTGAGCAGACAGTACACTGGTTCCACAAAGTGACAGCAGCACAGCGCCTCTCTGACCTGTACACTGTACTTCATGCAATCTCAGCATTTCTTTTGCTTACTAAAAACTTACCTAGCATTTATTTCTCAGACAGCAGAATAACACAACTTCACACAGATTGAATTCACATTTGTTGTTTTTTTATAATACATATTTCAGTAAAATCTACTTCAATACACTGATAGTACAAGAAAAAATAGTATATTATACTTCAGATGTGGAGCACACCATTTAGTTTTCTGATCCTGACGCAGACATCCTTTCACTCCCTTTTTATGAACAGTAAAAAAAAAAAAAAAGGGTGGGGAGAATGTGACAGCGCTGTGGAGTAACACAAGTGTGCAGACAAACCATTAGACCGAAACAAAGAGATGAATTCAAACTACGTCTGTACTGATACACACCTGCTGAGTATCAAAATGCTTTTTACATTTCTGTTTACAACAAAGTCTTGTCAGGCTTTTATATTACATTTGATTACAAAAAGGAGATTTTCATTTACAATCTAAGGCTGCCCATGTCTTCTGAGCTCTGAAGGATCTGTGTGTGTGTGTGTGTGTGTGTGTGTGTGTGTCTACAACAGTCCCTTTAATCCTTTGTGGGGCTTCAGCAGCTCCAGAGTAAGAGCAGGCGTCTCCCTGGAAACCAGGGTCAGGCTGACAGTCTGAACCAATCAGAGAGCACCTCTGTGGCAGGGGGGTGTGGGATGTGTCCTGCACTTCCTTTAGCAGTGTCCACAGTCACTTCCTGTACCCCCACTGGTGGCCCAGCTCAGGGCGCTGCTCTCAGGATGATGGGGTTTCTGCAGATGCTGCTGGCGGTGGGCTGGAGGGGGGCGGAGCCTCAGACGCTGCCTCTGAGTGTGCTGCTTCGGGCTGACTGCTGGAGGGCTTCAAGAGCTGGTTGGGGGTTTTGGGTGGGGCGGGATGAGGCTGGCTGACCTGAACAGAGAGCTGCGGCAGCGGCTGGGCCACCGCCGCCGGTTTAGCCAGGATGAGCTGCGGCGTTGGGCGGCCCGCCGTTAACTGCAGCGTAGACGCGGTGGCGCCAGGTTTGGTGGCTAACTGCGTAGTGAGCGGTTTAGCCTGGATGAGCTGCGTGATGTGGCCCGACGGGTTGGCCTGCATGAGCGTAGCCAGCTGGTTGGCCGGGATGGTGATGATGGTGATCTTCTCTCCCGCTTTGGAGCCGGCGGGCAGCATGGTGGGCAGAGCCTGGATGACCAGTTTGGGGGGAGCGCCGGCAGAGGCGTTGGCTACCGTTACCGGGACTCCCGTTGTGAGGATGGAGGAGGAGTTTAATGTCACCTGACCTAGCGAGTTGGTCATGACCACCGGCATGGCTCGGATGGGCCTGCAGGAGGAAGTACAGGAAGTACATGTCATTCTAAATCCACAGCCATCACGGTGGGAAAAGCACAGGTGGAAATAATGACCATGGCTGAATTCCATTTAGCTGCTTCACTCTCAATGCCTGTGATGTGGCACCAGCTGGAGTTTTTATCACTGCATGATACAATGCCACAACTGAGGAGACTAACTTTGGAGCATTTTAAAGAGAGAAGAAGAAGAAGAACCACGTTAGAAGCACCAATCGAGAAAGGTTGATGTCACTATCACAATTAAAGACACACCTACTGTTTATGATACAAATCTATCGTTTCAACAGCAATCACATGATCAGTACTCAGCCAATCAGAGGATATGGTTCAACCCTTTTCTTTCAGCTGCCCTGTGTGACCATCTGTCTGAGGTAAACCTTACTACAAACATGTGATACCTGGTGGTGGCGTTGCCGGGGATGACGGTGACGTAGGTCTGCTGAGGCTGGGTGGTGGCGGGCGAGTTTGCGCCGAGGCTGGCGGGGCCCTGCTGGTGAGCCGGATGCTGGCTGGACATGACGCCCTCGCTGTCCTCCACCTCCTCTCCGTCTTCCTCGTCATCGATCACCCGGATGTTCTTGGGCATATCTTTAAACTGGTAGGCCAGTCGCTGACCCTCCACTTTGGCCAGGATGCCTCGCTGGTAGTAATACCTACACACACACACACACACACACACACACACGGAATATCAAAGCTGTGTTCCTACATATGACAGGCAGACTGTGTTCAGGACTACACAGCTGGGTGTGTAGAGGACGGGCTGACCTCAGGGCTCGGCCCATGGTCTCGTAGTTCATGTCGGGCTTGTTCTTGTGTTTGCCCCACAGTTTGGACACGGCCTTGGAGTCGACCAGCTTGAAGATGCCCTTCTCTCTCTGCATCCACTTGATGTACCTGGGACAGGTGTTTTTGTCCTGCAGCAGCTCCAGCAGGAACTCCCACAGGTAGGTGGTGTTGCCTTGAGAACACACAGCACAGTTACATGATCCAGGACTTGATGTTACAACAAATGATGATGCCTAATGTACTGCCACTGTTATGGACAAAAGATACAGTCAAACAGGAGTTTTATGATTTTCATCCAAATCTGGCTCACTCAGTGAGTACAGAGTTGAATTAATCTGTTGCAGTATAGATGTTCTCAAACAGTCCTTTCTGTTGACTGCACTGTACAGAGCAGAGCAGTATAGAACTGTATATATATATTTCTATAGGTCTGTTTCATATAGAATTAAGCACAACCGCTGCGTGTACTTCTTTGACAAACCTTTCCCCTCCCGCGGTCTCTTCTTAATCCCCAGGTCAAAGGAGCCGTTGGAGGCCGGCTGGTGTGTCTTGGGCTTGCGTCCACCTGCACTCAACACACACACACACAGAATGTCAACACTCAGTATGTTTAATACCTGTCACACACTCCCCAGAGCCTGATATAGTACGTCTGTATCATTTTCAGACATGCTTGATATGTATGTTAGCCTGCACTACCCCACTGCACTGCTGACGCCGCCAAATTATTGTCTGATTGTTTGAAGGTTTGAATAAGTTTAAAAAACCACATGAATATGAATCCAACAAATGATTAGCCAAGATAAATTCATTAAAACAATTCAACCACACTGTGACCTTCTTGTGAGCCACAGTGGATCATTTTGTAACTTCCTGAGCAAGAGACTCAGAAACCACTGGTGAAGAGCCTTCAACAACTGCTGCTAGGTTACAGGTAAGCACAAACAAGAGAAGAGCTGAAAATATTCAGATTAGTATCTCAAGTTTGGATTTCCCTTCAAGGAGACTGAAAGCTGTTCCTTTAATAACTTCTTTCTGCACGGTAACAAGGTACTACCCTACAGAGCATTATTGGAACCCTGGTTTAGCATGCTCCACAATACATGTGGCAGGGCGTCCCTGTGCCACCTGTCTATCAGCCATGGGGTCCTTGGTCTGTTCCAGAAAGGCTCAGGCCTCAGGTTCAAAGTGTGGAGGCTGGCCCTTCATGCCTCTGTCTGGACGCTCAGGAAGCCAGGCCACCTTTTCATGTTCAGAATGCAGTGTGTGTGTGTGTGTGTGTTTCCATGTTACATCAGATGGATTACAGAGACACTGACCTCCTCTCTTCTTCTTGGCAGCAGGCTCACATTCAGGAGGGATGGGGAAGGACTCCTCCTCGATGGGTCCACACTCTGTAGACACCTCCACCACTGTCTCCATCATCACATCCTCTGCTGGGGTCAAACCAAACATTCACACCATTCTATTTCTGCTGGCTCACGTCATTACAGACTGATCTTACCATTGGATCATTTAAATACATGACACAAACGTTTCTTTTTAAATTGGCAGATGTCTTCTTACGTATATCTTTGTATTACAACCATGTGAAGAAGTACTTCATAATATGTGGACTGACTTTCCGATGAAGCAATTTGAATAACCTAATTAAGTGCGTCTACAGTAAGGATGGAAGGACAGAATCAGGAGTGCCTCACTCACTACAGTACAGTGCTACATACGGTCCTATTTTGTTTCCTGATTTATTTTGAATCGCCACAAGGGGAGCCAAATCCTCCCAGTCATTCCAAAATACTAAACCTGTCACCATGGCTGCAGGCTCAGCTCGCCAGTCATTATTAATGAAATATTATGGATTCCAAACTAAAGAACAACAGTAAGATACGGTACCTATCTGTCATTCAGTACAAACATTGGTTTCTTAACTAAATGTAAGGTAAAGCATTCCACTATGTTTTAGTGTTTTGGTGCAGTTTTAGGTTTTAAGCATATTTTAATTATTATGATTAAAATGTGATATTTTCGTATTGTCCCATGACTAAATTCATTTCACCGACTAATATGTGGCCTGATCCTGGGAGCGGGTGAAAAGCTTATCAGGTTAATGTGCTCTCTCCACAGCTGGACCTGTGCTATTTATGTTTGGTCAAAGATGCATTCCTCACAGAAGAAGCATCACTCTGTATATTTTGGATCTTTTTTTGCTTCTTGTAATTATCAGAACAATACATCATCATATCAATTTCTCATTATCAGAATGTATCAGTCCTGGTGATTATTGTGAAACCATAAATCCTTCATACAAAAATGGCAGCTTCTCAAATCTGAACATTTCATGCATTTGCTTCATGTTTTATATCCCATCATTAAAGTGAATCTCTGGGGGTTGTGGACTGACAAAACAAGACGTTTCAGACTGTGAGAAACTTGGACTGACATTTTATAGACCAAACAATTCACTGTTTCATCTGGGAAATAATTAGCAGATTAATTGACAATGAAAATAATTGTTAGCTGCAGCCCTTAGCTACTGAACCAAAGCAGTACATAGTGCACTACTATGTATACAAATCAAGTTTCACTTTTCTTTACGGACTGTGGGAGGATGAGCAGCTGCATTATTTGAACGGAGACACATTTGTGATTAAGTTTAGGGTAAATCTGTTGTGTTTACTATCATGTACACAACTACAGTGTTACAAAAGTCAAAATAAAGCTATTTGGTGCTCTGCTAAACGACGTCTCACTAACTGCTGTAACCACAGACAGTGTAACCGCAGATAGTGATGTTCAAATGGTCTTGCAGTTCTTAGACTTGTGTCTATCAAACAGAAGAGGAAGAACGGAGTGTGTTCACCTGTGTTGCGTTCGTTGTGCAGTCCTCCAGGAGACTCCATGTGGAGGAGAGCTTCGGCTGCTTCAAACGTTTTGTCAAAACACACCATGTCGTGACCCGACATCTCCACTGAGGAGAGGAGCAGAGAGAAGGTTGTCAGTTCACAGAGCTCTGCAGACAACACAACAACACATGCTCTCTGAGGACAGGCAACGCAACTACACCTGTGACTTTCAATAACAACACAAAGATCCTGTTTCTGGTGACAAACGGTTCTGCTCACAACAGCTCAGCAATGCAACCTCAACTATTTTGAAATAGTGACTTCCTTGTTGGGGTTTGTAGAGGCAGTCTGTTCCTCCCTTCCTGTTTCCTGTAATCTGGTCGAAATAGCTAGATGTCGTTCTTGCCAGCAGAAGGCAGTCTACTGCTGTCACACACATCAACAGCACCAATAGGTCCGCAAGTCTTGAAGAAAATGTAAACTAATATGTGACACAGCACTTGTTCAGACTGCAGATATTTTTAGATTTCAAAATAAAAGAAACAAAGTTAGCTGCAATCTGAAGTCTAATGACATTTAGCAAAACAGACAGCATTGTGTGGATTCATATAAAGTTATACTGCTAGCTGCAGAATTGACTGTTTTCCTTACATAATGCCTGTTTTACACTGCCACAGAATCAATAATAAGAAAAATCCATTGTGAACTATTCAATGGACAAACAGCGCTGCTGTCACACATACTGGTGGAGAGCAGTTTGACAGGGCTGACTTTTTACCACTAGTATAGTGACTCTAACCCTCACCCAGCTCATCAGGGCAAATACAGTTAATGTTAATACACTCATACAGGTTTTTAGCCCATGTTAAGTCAAATCACAACATCTTCCAGTTATAGGAAGGCTTTCTGCAGATGTCTCTGCTTTAGCTCACAGAACAACAGTCCATTCAGCTCACAGCCTTTGGCTCTCTTAACAGCTTTACAGTTTGTTTTCATTTAGGCTTTACTCATTTATGACATTACGCTGGTCAGACACTGCTTTAACAACACCACACGTTTTAATAATCAACCTTTCTGCATAGCAAAAACATACGGCTTCTAGGCTCTCACTCTATGGTGCATGGACACTCACACTGAACCTAAACATTAAACCCTGATAGAGTTTGTCCTTTAACAAAACAAATCCTACAACAATGTTGACAAACAAAAGAAAAAGGCAGCGTTTATGGTTGTTTCTTCTTAACAAAAACGCTGACAATAAAGCAAGAAAAAAGGAAGAATATAGAGCAGCACACGGCTGGGGGGTGAACCATATCGTTTTTCTGTTCTGCAGCTAAAGTCAGTGTGATCTCTATCTACGCTTAGAGACAAAACTCGCTATGATTGGAAACAGACCGTCTGACAGCAGCATTGTGGGAAATCACAACCCAGAACAGTTCAAATTCTGAAAGACAACATTTCTGAGTTGGCAGATAGAGATCTGTTTGTTCATCAATCAACCCCCCTCAAACTGAACGAATATGAATATTTCAATAATATAATGAATATTTGCTCATCCATGACTGGAAAACTAGTCTCTAAATTTCCAGGTTTTCCAGGACACGTGGGAACCCTGGTCTACCTTGAAGTTAGAAATGTCCTTTCTCTTTAATTATCATTTTCAATTAGTTTAGTTTCTGGTAGTTTCCAGAGTGTGTTCAGAGGGCCGCAGGTCGGATTCGAACCCTGCGCCGCTGCAGCAAGGACTCAGCCTCAGTACATGGGTCGCCAGCTCTACCCACCCAGGTTTTAGTTTATTATGATAATATGACAGAAGATTTAAGGAGTTCAGAATAGGTTTTGCAATACAAACACATTGGGTTTTATGCATCAAGCTATACATAAACACAATTCCTCTTATTGTTCATAACCACGGTTGGTTTTCTTTCAAATCCATCACTGGTGTGATTTTTACCAGTGCTTTCTATTTTTGCTCTTCTCTTTGGTCCGAGAGCATTTAACAAGTGGTAGAACACTCTTAGCATCATTAAAAAAACCTTCTTGTATTCAGTCCACAAACTGTTTGTCGACATAAAAACACATGTATACCCACTACTAATCCATTGGATGCTTTTGCCTTACGCAGAGGACATTTTAGAGATGGCACAGATCTACTGTATGAGACGGAGGAAAGACTACTTTCAGATTTGATTGTCAAATGTTGTGCCTCCACATGTGCAAGGACTACAGTTACTGCGTGTTGCTGTGCTGACACTATCACAGATGTGAAACCATTGCTGTGAGAATCACATTTAAGTTTATTTAACAGTAATTTGGTTTCCCTGCTGCAGAAGTTCTTCCTCTCAGATACATATCTTAAGTCTCAGTATCTCATCGTGTATCTCATCGATTATCTCTGATTCCATCCACTTTATAGAAGAACTCACCGGTCTCGGCCACCTCTGTGACCACCTCCTGCTCCTCGGCCACGTCCTGCATCAGGTACGTCTCGTCGTCGTAGACCAGGACCTGCGCCGAGTAGCACTCCTCCACCTGGGCGCTCGGCACCTCCTCCACGATCACTGCCGGACATCCCTCCTCCTGCAGCACCACACCCTCCTCCTCCTCTTCCACATCCTCCTCCACTTCATCGCCGCCCTCCACAATCACCGCCTCTATTTCCTGCTGGACCACCTCTTCCTCTTCCTCTTCCTCCTCGACCGGCTGCTGCTCACACTGAACGTTAAAAGAAGTGAAAAGCTGATTTTTAGGCTATGTTATATCATCTCCAAAGATGATCCAGTATGCATATGGGGGGTCACTGCAGCCTCCTCCTGAGCTACCTGAATGAACCACTGTGCTGAGAAGTGACAGACAGCAGAGTTGGAGAGTTGATTGCTACACTCGTTGTGTTGCTGTGCATGAAAGGTTTGCAAGTAAAACACATCTGTGTGACAATGATGGGACAGGCCTCAATACAGCTGACAGCAGTCAGGTAAAAAGTGAGTAATTGGATCGGGACATCCCTAATGAAATATGCAACACTCGATTAGTGGATCCATGCTGTCATATTGCTGTCCACGTTTATACAAGTATCAAAACAGGGAAATGTGTCATTTGACTTCAGTTAGATTTAATGGAACGCACCAAATGTAAGATATTAACTTTATTAATTGGCTATGCTCAATGGAATTACAAATAGTTACAACTCTGCTCAGTGTAGCACTAAGCTATACACTGTCAACCCTGGCTTCGTGGCATCAGGCACATTTCTCCCGTACATCAAAGCTGAATTCTCTTTACTCTGTTCTTCTTCCCGTCACTCTGCAGCCACTACTATCTTTTTTTTTTTACTTTGTTGACAGCCGTTGAGGGGATACACAGGCTTACCTGCTGGGGCTCCTCCACCACAGTGACATACTCCACTATGTTCCCTCCACCGTCTGACACTACCACCGAGGTCATCACTCATTCCTGCCAAAGCAGAAGTACAGGCCGTCAGGATGGAAAGGACAGCGCTAACATAACAGAGCTGAAAGATTTCTAAGTATGATTGGGTTATCTCATAATAGTCATGTTTGTGTGTGTGTGTGTGTTTGCAGGGGGTGGGGTCATGTGAAAGCCCCATGGGCGCCGCCTCTCCTCATGACTTAGACCCAGTAATGTTGTGGTCTGTGTTGTGAGGATGCCACACTCCGCTCTAAAGTAACCTGCTAACTCCAGTCTCCTGCTACATCCAGTTTATAACGGACCCAACCACAGGCCACGTACTTCAGTAATCACTACAGTTATCAGTCACTGACCTTCTTCAACATTAATAAGAGACAAGAACGTTGCAACAACCAACAGGAGTAGACTCAAACACCAGAGACATCAGCTACGTTTACATGCACAACAATTCTCCACTATTAGTCCCAATGAGGGCCATGTAAACAGCACATTCCTTTTGGCTAATCCTAATTAGGGTTTTAGGCTTATTCTCTGGACATGTATACAGCACATTCACAATGTGTGTCTCATTTGGGGGCTTTACCGCTGGGCAACACGTCTGTGCAACACGTCTGTGTACAGTGAGCTCTGTGTGCTGTAAACAGTTCGCCAGGCTGGAGTAGAGCTGTGCATGCTGGTGTCTGTATGGTTGAACAAGTCAGCCACTGGTAGAAACTGGTTGTTTTTTAAATTGTCTCTTGATGCAAACAGGCAAAATGGGCTGAGCACTTCCACCTTTAGCATGGGAGGAACATGACTGCCGTTAGAAAACCAGGGAAAGAGAAGGAAAAGGAGAGGAAAGTGCCTCTGTAGGACGCACAGTACATCACAAACAGTCCCATTAATTAGTATGTCGTATTAGAATGCACAGCTGCATGCAAACAGGAATATTCCTGGAATATACATTTTTATCAGCCATGCAGTCGGAATATTGTCTTTTTCAATACAGGGGCAAACAAAAATAATAAGACCATCATAACTGAAACAAAATTGCTGCTAACAAGAAAGCTGTTTATGTTCCATACGGTAAGTTTGACAGGTCTGAAAGCGTAGGGCTGAGCCTCCTCTGTATGACTGCAGGTTTCAGTGTTCAGCTGTTCATTAGATAACACTACATTTTAAATTCACAAAAAACTAGTTCATAAAGTAAAATGTGATAATATATGACATAACGAATAAATAAACACAAAAATAAACAAAGCTGAACGATGGATCAAAGGTTTGGTATACTAACCGAAATGGCTACAAGTACAACGAAACTGGTATTTGGAGT